GAAGGACCAGGCCAGTGGGGGCTCCACAGGGCCGGGCATGGAGGTCATGACCCATGGCCTCATCCTGCAGCTTCCAGGGCAGGTGGGGAGCTCTTTCAACATTGCCCCCCCCCTGGAAACCCAGGAAAGAACCCAAAGGAATAAAGAGTGGAAAGGGACGTGGCTGGAGACGGGTCGTCAGTGGGTGAGGTCTCCGCCCCTTAAACTGAGGCTGAAATCCAGATGGCTGGTGAGCCGCTGCATCCCGAGTGGCGCTTCCTTTACTTGCTTCCTCACCTTGGACCAAGCAGGCAACAGGTTGGGAATCTGAGCATCTGTGGATTTTCAAAATATTAAATTCACCTCTGAATCCTTCCCTCCCTCCTTTCCTTCCATCTTTGTGCTCTCCCCTCCTTCTCCCCTCCCCTTTTCTCCTTTTTGTAAAGATTCGTTTTCAAGATTTGCCAATAAAGCATTCTGAATCTCTGCCTCTCTTCTGTGAGTTTTCTTGTTCCTTCGGTTTGCCTTTTCTGGGTGATCCCGAGGTACTCCATCACTGGAGGCTTTGGAAAAGAGACTGGACAGCCATTTGTCCAGAATGGTGTGTAGGGTCTCCTGCTTGAACGGGGTTGGACTAGAAGACCTCTGAGGTCCTTCCAACTCTGGCATTCTTTATTCCTTTTGTGTCTGCGTTCGCCTAATGGGGTTCATCTGTGAAATGCAAGCTCCATCTTGGCAAAGTTAAAACTCGAGGACTTTCTCCATGGCTTCAGGAGTTGCACCAATGCAACTTCTTTGCTCAACCAGAGTGGGCTGCCCTGTGCCAAGCGGACCAGGCGCACTGTGCGAACGAACCCTTCGTGGGGGGGGGAGACCTTGCGTGGGGGGGTACTGGATAAGGGGGCGCCTCTTCAGCACCGCGGACAGCCCCCCCACCCCGCGTTGCCCCCTCGGCCTTTGTTTTGCTCAGAGAGCCGGGCGGGGCCACAGGAGGAGGGGGAGGAGCGACGAGGGAGGGGGGCCTCTGCGCGGTTCAAGTGACGCCGGGCAGGTGGTAGGGGGGGAATCCCGCCGCGCCCCCCGCGGCCACTCCCCCTCCAACCCCTCGCCAGCCCCCCGACCCGCTCGCCGGCATTCCGCTTGGAGGCTCCCGGAGCTGCTAGCCGCCGTCCCTCGGGCCAAGGCCGGGGGTCTCTGTTCCGGCGTCCGACCCCGGCCGGGCACCCCAGCGCCATGCTGCTGGAGCGCGGCCGCGGGGAGAAAGCGGCCCCCGCCGAGCCCTGCGCCTTCGGCCGGAGCCCAGGTAAGCCGGCCCCGACGGGCGCCGCCGCCCGCTGGCTTCCCCCGACGCACGCCGAGGGGACGAAGGGCTCCCGTCCCCGGCTGGCCCGCGGGGCAGATCCTCCTTCGGGGGGAAGTCACCCGTTCTGCCCCCCCCCGCCTTCTTTCAAATTAGGAAGGACTCTCCAGGTTTTGCCGAGCGCTCTTGAATCGGACGGTAGTTCTGGTTTGCGCCTCCTTATTCTTCGTTTGCGCTGACGGTTTCCCGTCATCTTTTACCTCCTGGTCGCTTTTCTTATTCTTACTTTTCCTTCCTTCCTTCCTTCCTTCCTTCCTTCCTTCCTTCCTTTCTCTCTGTCTCTCTCTTCTTTTTCTTGACACAACTCTTTCCTGGGGGAAGGGGTCGATTCCAGGAACCCGGGTTCAACTTGCCCTGTGCTTAATAGGAAATCTTCCTACTCAATTTCCTCACTTTCCCCGCATCCTCCTCCTAACGGATGCCCCTTGCTCTGGGTCCTCTTCACCCAGTGGGAAAACCCAACCCAGCGGGCGAGGAGGATGGAGGGGAGGAAAGAGAGAAGGAAAACGGCCCGGCTTCCGCCGGGGAGAGGAGAGGCTGCCCCCACTCCAGCTCACCCGAAGTCGTTAGGACGCGCCTGGCTTGGCGGGGCCGAACAGCTGCCAGGCGCGTCTCTTCCCAGCCCAGGGACCTCCCAGAGTGGGGGGGGGGTCTCTTCCGACCAGGGAAAGCGCCCTCCCACCCCCGGTCCCGCTTGCACTCTGCCGGAGCCCCTCCGGGGCAGCGGTCCGGGCCCCCAAGCGCTCCCGAAGGCCAGCTCGGGACCCAGAAGCCCCCTGCGCCTTTGGGGGTCTTTCCAGAGCCGGGCGAGCCGCTTCTGCCTCTCCGCGGCTCGAGAGAGGCTGGAGCGAGGGAGAGGGGGAACTCCCGGCCCGCCTCCAGGGCGTCCGTTGCCCGGCCCGCAGCTGGAGAAGCCACAAGCGAGCGGCATCTCTCCTGCTTGGCGGGGTCCGCTTCGGGAGCGTCGCTTGGCCCCACCGGCTTCCTCTCGGGTCCCTTCCCGGAGCGCCCGGGGGCAGAAAGGCGGCTTTCTGAATCTCGCTGGGAAATAGGCGCGTCTGGATCTCCCGCCGCCCCTGCAGACTCCGTCCGGCAAAGGTTGGGGGGCGGCTGGGGCAGCCTGGCCTCGCCGATCTCCCTGACCTTTTGGGCTCGCCATGGCGACCCGGCGGTTTCCAGGAGCCGCTGACGTCCAAGCAACCCGATCGCGGCCGTTCGGCTTACCTGTCGGAAGCCAGCGAACCTTTGCCATCCGGGCCGCTCAGGCGGAGCCCCCTGAAAGCCGAACGTGCGAATGGGTGGCAGCCCCGGGGAGGGCTTTTCGTTTTCTGAAAACGGGCAGCAGCGCGTCCAAGAGCTTGGAAAATATAAGGAAAAAGAAAAAAAATGGAGGGGGGGGATAGTTGATTTTAAAACGGTAAGCAGGGACGAACCTAGTTAATCTGTGGGAGGAAGATTAGCAGACTGTCTCAGGGGATGCTGGACCACGTTCCCAGACTTTTGAGTTTACAATCCCTGATATGGGAAGCCTCCTCTCGCCCCGTCCCGTCCGTGGAGGCTCCCTCTCTCTTCTCAAATGGGAGATTCGCGCACAATATTTAACCAGAAAGCGTTTCGAAGTTTTCGATTCTCTTGGAAAAGGATTTCTGCCACTTAATATCAGAATCGACTCTCTGAAGGCCTTTTGACTGGCTTCCAAATAACCGGTTTAAAGGTTAGAAAGTGATTGTGTTCCCTTTTGCACTGGTGAAAGAAAGGAGAGAGGGAGAAAGAAAGGAGAGGGAGAGAAGGAAGGGAGGGAGGAAGGAAGGAAGGAAGGAGAGAGAATAAAAAGGGAAGGAAAGACAGAGAAGGAAGAAAGAGAGAGAGAGAAGGAAGGAAGGTAAGACAAAGGGAGGGAGGGAAGGAAGAAAGGGAAAGAGAAGAGAAGGGAAAAGGAAAGAGGGAGAAAAGAGAGAAGGGAAGGTGGAGGGAGAGAGGAAGAAAGGAGAGGAGAGAAAGGAGGGGGAAGGATGGAGGAGAAAAGGAGGGAAAAAAGAAAGGAGAGGAACAAGGAAAGGATAGGGAAAGAAAAAGGGAGGGAGGTAAGGAAAGAAGGAAGGGTGGGAGGGAGGGAGGTGAAGGAGAGGAAGGAGGGAAGGAGGAAGGAAAGCATGGAGGAAAGGGAAAGGGAAAAAAACGGGAGGGAGAGAGGAGAGAAAGGATTAGTAGTAAACGAGGCTTATTGCACTTTGAAGATTAACAAATCAGTTCAGAGAGAAGCTTAGCGGGACCGGAACTTCCTTTCATTTGATTAAGAAAAAAGGAGATAAATCGTCCTGCAGATTTCAAACTTGGAGGAAGTGAAGAATATATTTTAATTTAGAAAGAACGGCTCTTCCGCCTTTTGCGGAATAGTTGCCGTTAATTCCTCTAAGGATCCGATCCGGTCCTTGTTCCTCAAATGGAGCTCCCACAATCGGATTCCGCGTGGCTGGAGGGGGTGCTGTTGATTTCTCTCCCCTCCCTCATTTCCCCTCAAAAAAATTGGAATCCTTTTACAAGGAAAAGGTCCCCAACAGGCACAGAGCATTCCTATGATGTCGGTCAGAGCATTCAGGAACGTTTTAGCTGATTAAGTCACTTTCCCTTTCCCTATTAGTAAATTAAATCAGAATAAATTTGCATATCTCCACAGCCTCAGCAGAAAACGCCTTCTTGGGACAAATTTAACCAGACAAAAGTCCCCCTTCGGGCTTCCTATCACCTCCCAAGAAGCTTCTTCGACTCTTTTGGTTTTCCCTTCTGCGCTTTCTGCATTGGCTCCTATTCACAAGCCACACAAAACACAAGGCTGACTCTGAACTATTTCAGCAAAACTTCACAGATGAGTAAAGGGTGGGAACGTGGATCAAAGTCGAACTATATTGCCCTGAGGTCTCCCTCCTTGCCTCCTCTTCCACACCTCTTCTTGTCTCTGTCTGGGGAGGCAGAGGTGTCCAGGAATCTGGAATTGGATCCCTGCCGTGAACAGAGGGGTGGGCTGGATGACCTCGCTGGATCCTTCCAGCTAGGATTCTTTCCGTCTCTCTTATGCCTCATTTAACCCTCTCGCCCATCCTGTGAAGAAGACTATAAGCGAAGGGGCTATTTATCCCCCCTTTCCTCCCATCTCCCTCCCACCCACCCCAGCTTGCTCTTACATCCGATCAGCCTCGGCTGCTACCTGAGAGAGGAAGGGGAGATCCTCACCAGGACCCCCGGCGGAGAGGCTGCTCCATTTTTAGGTGCGGATTAACCCTCCGAGAGCAGTTGTGGGGGGTCCAAAAGGACTCGCTCTTCTCCTTGGCCCATGTGGCAAGGAGTCCCCTTGGAAGGCATCCATCCCTGCTGCTCCCCCCGTCTAATGTCCGCGATGGGGGGGGGGAAACGAGTGACTCCACCCCCGCCTCCCCCCTTGGGGTAGACTCGACCGGCTCCCCCGCCCCGTCGCTGGCGGCCGGCCGCTGTCCGTGGTGCTGACGGAGCGCCGCTGGCCGGGACCGGGAGACGCTGGCTCTGTCTTTAAAGGGGAGGTTTCTGCGGAGGTTTTCTCCGCCGCCCCCCCCCCGCGTCGTCCACCCCCCCCCCCGATCTTCAGTGCCCGCCGGGTCGAGTTTCCCAAGAACGGGAGGCGAGCAAGATGGACGCGGGGAAGGAGGTGCGGCGGCGGCGGGGGGGCGCTGGCCGGGAGCCCCCCAGCAGCACCGAGACGCTCCTGGCACTGTTGGCGCGGAACCAGGAAGGCCGGGCAGGTAACGGGGAGGGGGGCAGAAGGGCCACTAGGGGAGAGGAAGAGCCTGATGGTTCTCAGTCATCCTGCCCAGGTATTTTCCCCCTGAACCCTCTTCCCCCCCCCCCAGACCCGGCACCCTCGCGGAGTTCCAAGCAAAAATTCCGTTGGGGGCAACGGGAGCAAAGGGGGCTGCGCGGTTCTCCGTATCCACCCTCCACTTCGGGACAGGACACCCCCAAATGAGCAAGGGTTCTGCAGCCCTCCCCGGGGGAGGGGCATAGAAGAGGAGGGCTGAAATTGGGGAAGGGTAAGACACCCCCTCTTCTAAGCCTCTTGCCTGCCCGCGGGAGGAGCAGCACAGGAGCCCTGAAGGAGATTCCCCCCCCCGCCACCGCTGCTCGGTCGTGGTTTAGTTTGGGGTGGGGGGGAGATGATTCCGAACGATGGATAAGAAAGATAATGGCAGATCAACTCCATGGCCGGGGATGCAGCGGCGTCCCCCGAGGTGTTGAGGGAGGGGGGTCTCTTCAGGTGCCAGGTGGCAGCTGAGTAACTTTTTACTGGGTGGATGGGGAGCTGTGACCTCCTCCCCCAAATTGGGCAGCCATTTTCTCTTAGGGAGAACCGGTTGCCGCTGCTTAGAGCCAGAGAATCCTTAAACAGGACTCTTGAGATGGAGCCTCCGTGCCCAGCTAGATGCCCTTTCTCAGCCTCGATTTTGCTCCTCGTTCGTTTTCGTTTGGCTTGTTTCCTCCCCTTCGTTTCACTCTTCCTTCCTTCCTTCCTTCCTTCTTCCGTCCATCTTGTCTTGCCTTGTCTTTCTTTGGTCTCAATTCGATTCCTTTTTCTTACGTCTTGCTTCAACTTTTGGTAATCAACCAGCCGTTCTTCCGTTTCCTCTTTTTTCTTTTCATCCTTCCTCATCCTTCTGTCCTTTTTCTGGATGGTCGGAAAGAGGAGGAAAAAGAGCTGGAAACAATAATTCCTCGTCCATTTTCTTTTCCTTCTTAGCCTGGAAACAAGTAACGGAACTTTCTTGCACTATAATTGACATTATTAAGAACTCCGGATAGGGAGAATTCTTAAGTAGGATACAACACAGAATTTTTAAATTTAATTGCAGAGGAAGGAAAACGAATTGCCCGTTTCCTAAAACCTGCACCAAATGGGGGGGGGGGAAAGGCTACTGAAATATCTTCTCAGTTCTTCTGCCCTCTCCACGGGAGTCACAGCAACTCAAACGATTTCATTTTTAAAAAGTGAATGTAGACGATCTAATTGCCCTAATGTAATTTTTCAGAAGTCGAACGAGAGTTTGCCCCCCTTCCACCCCACCAAGTCCCCCCTCAGATAATGAAAAGTAGGGGATTAACTCTAGGGAGAGAGAATAACTCACTTCGCCGACCTTTCCCCAGAAGAGCGAAAATCCTATCACTGGGATATTATTTATGATTATTGATTTGTTATCGGTCAGATCATTTGTAAGGCGGGGAAAGCAGAAGGCGCCCCTTTCAGCTTGACCGACTACCGCCTTCCCGACGAGCGCGCTACAAGTCCCATTTTGCTTGTGGATGATGGGCTTCGCGATCCAACGCGTCGGGAGGGCGCCAGTCCAGCCCACCCCCTTTTGCTCCGTCCCGTCGGAGCAGAACCGACAAGCCACCCAAAGCGGCTTCACCCCGTCGGGAGCCGAGAGAACTCAGCCCGGCCTTCCGCAAAGCCTTCTACCGCAAACGGTTGGGGGTCCTGCGGGGGAAGGAGGGGCGCGCGAGAGGCTCCGGAGCCCCTTCCTTCATTCCGAACCCTGTTCCTAATTCAGACCGACGTCTCTGCAGGCCTGTAGACGCCCTTTGCTAACCGGCCTCTCTTGTGACGCCAACATGCCTGTAACAACCATTGGATCACCTCGATTTGGGTCCAGGCTGGGCTACCATTAACACCACACAGTGTAATATAATTAATGTAACGTTGTGATCCCAAAGTGACGTGGCACTTTCGGATATATGTTTACTCGCCTATCGGATGGCTGGTGCTCTGCTGGGCTGCGTCTGTTCAATCCCAGGCCAACCGGCCTCCCTCCTCGGAGCTTTTCCCTCCGGTCTGTTTCAGGCCCTTTTGCAACCGGAAATCCCCGGCCCCGCGGCTCCCGCGACCTCACCTTCCTCCCCCCCGGCGGGGTCCCTTCCCAAGGGCAGGTTGGCATCCGGCGTCGAACCCCGTTTTTATCTCGGGCGCTTGAGAGCCGTAGCAGGCCGCGGGCCGGCTTGCTCGGCTTCATTGGCGGCTGGGGGCGTGTGTGGAGGGAGGTGCTGGGGACCCCCCCCCTTTTGAAGTCGCGTCTTGAGCTGATCGCCGCTGCGGGAGCCCCGGGGAATGGCTGGGAAGAGGGCGAAAGTTGTCGGGTGCGGGAGGGGTCTCGGCTATCAAAAGCTGACTTGCGGGTGACAAAGAGGTGGAGGGGAGCCGCCTCGTCTCGGCGGAGAAGGCTTCATTCCATCCTTTCCCTTCCCTTCCCTTCCTCTTCGGTGGGGACTTCCTCCAGCCCTCCAAAGGAGACCCCAGAGGCTTAAAGGCTCTTGAACCCCGCACCCATCGCGCGCTTCTCTTTCTTTTCCCACCTCCCTCCTGGCAACGCGGACTTCTTGCCTGGATTGGGAGGATCCGACTTTCCCCCGCGGTTCCCTGACCGAATTTATCCTCGGAGGAGGAGAGGCGGGCGCCCTATTGGCACCTACCGGACCGTTCCTCCTTTGAAGGCCCTCTCGCCGACGCATCTTTGCCTGTACGGACGCTCCCAAGACCAAGACTACTTCCAGTTGCCAACACAAAAACAAATAAACCCAACCGGGTGGGGGGGGGGGATCTCGCGGCCCGGCGCCGCGTAAAAAGCGCGCAAGCGGGTGGAAAGGGTGACCCGGAGCTTGGATCGCCCAGGGCGCAAAATCGCTTCTTGGCCGGGATCCTCTTCCCTTCCCTGATCTGCCCTCGGGGGAGAGGCCAGACCAGGCGGCAGGCCAGTCTCCCCTTGGGGAGCGCCGGGCTCCCCCCACGAGCGTTCGGCCGGGTCGGATGACCGCCTGCCTCGGACAGACCCCAGCAGCAAAGCGGGGCGAGGCAGGCCCGGGGGCCCAGCCCCGACCTCGCGGTTCAACCGACTAAGCGTTGGCTCCCTTCGCCTCCGACCGACTCATCAGCCAGGACTTCAAGTTGATTCATCTACCGGGGTTCAAAGTTGAGTTCCCTGATTACAAGCGAAGCCCGACGGCTCCCCTTTTCGGATTTTCTTTTGAAAGAGAGACTTTTAGCTAGTTTACAAATTTACCGTTCAACAAATTAAAAACTCGATTCTTTGCTGGCCGTACATTATTATTAATTATTATTATTATTTAATCTTGAATTCGATGCACAGTCTGGGACTGGTAAAAACTTAACAGTTCAAGTCCTAACCAAGGACCTAAGCGCTGTTAAAGTAACCTCTGAGTATAGATGCAGTTCCTAGTAAGGTGGTTTTTTGCAAAGTCAGAATATTCATGTCTAATAAGTTCAAAATTTCCATGTACCTAGGCAGCCCTTTGGGTATTGCTCCAAGGGCTCCTATTACTATGGTAAGAGTTAAAATTAGTTATAATAATAATTATAAATAATAGTTATAATAATATTGTTGTATTATTTTATCATTTCTATTTGTAAATTGAAACGAATATCAGATCTTCCTTGAAATAATAAATACCACTATTTAAAAGGAGATTTATGAGACGGATGTTCCTGCTGTGATATTTACCCGGCAAGAAATCAGGGTAACAATGCGCGCTATTGGTGGTCTCCCCTCTCTCCAAGGCTTCTGAATCAGCCAATGAATCAATTTGGGGGACATTCGTAATTTAATTAACAAAAAAATAGCATAGATGTGAGGGTACTTGCTTCGCGCAGAGCTTCATGATGATAATGATGGCACAATCGCCACAATCACAACCAAAGAACAGGCATTTGACTCCGACCGAAAATCCAGATTTATTTATCCTCAGGAAAAGATCAGCAATTATCTGCGTTTGTTTTTCGTTTTGGCGTGATCTGCAGCAGAGACTTTTAATTCTTTCTTTCTTTCTTTCTTTCTTTCTTTCTTTCTTTCTTTCTTTCTTTCTTTCTTTCTTTCTTTCTTTCTTTCTTAATATTTATTTATTTATTTTCTGAACAAACACGCATAAAGATTAGGGGACCCGTCCAAAATTAGGCCCTTGCAAGACCCGTGCTGATTTTGAGGGGAGAAACTTACACGCTGGTGCCTTGAAGGGGTTTCCTGGCGCAGGAGTTTGAACCCGCCAGGCGGGACCCCCTTGGCATGGAAAGCGGGAATAAAAGCAGAAAAGTGTGGGAGAGGCAATTCCTCGGGCCCTCTTGCCTCATTCTCACCCCAGCTGTGCTACAGATGCGTTTATTTTAGAATTATTTCGATTTTAGTATTTGAGCTTTACAGGGTCTCGAATGTCAGCTTAAAACGGCTAACCCTAACCCCTGACCAGTATGGCTTTGGGGGCACTTAAATAATCTTACTTTTATTATTGTAAAAAAAAAATAACCAACTGTTCTCACACCTTTCAAAAGGAATCTTTCCCTAGGAAGGGAGAAAGGAAGTGAGAAAGGGAGGAAGAACAAGGGGAGAGTAGAAAGGGAGAGAGGGAGAAGCAAAGAAGGAAGGAAAGAAGGAAGGAAGGAAGGAAGGAAGGAAGGAAGGAAGGAAGGAAGGAAGGAAGGAAGGAAGGAAGGAAGGAAGGAAGGAAGGAGCTGATGGATGTCCTTTCTCTCTTTGAACCGTTTCCCCCCCAGACATCCCTCTCTGCGCAGGCTGCAACCAGCACATCGTGGACCGTTTCATCCTGAAGGTGCTGGACCGCCACTGGCACAGCAAATGCCTCCGATGCCACGACTGCCAGGTGCAGCTGGCAGAGAAGTGCTTCAGCCGTGGAGAGAGCGTCTACTGCAAGGAGGACTTCTTTAAGTGAGTGGACCAAGGCCGGCCTTCCCCCCCTTCCCCTCACCCACGCTCCCTACTTTTCAGGAGCGCCAAAGGAAAGGAGGAGAGAAATACTTTCCATCTTGCAAGAGCCTGTGAATTCCAGTACAATGTGATCTCCGTTTCTCCACTTTTAACATGCGAGGTCCAATTTTTGCGTACTTCTCATACAAACAAATTAATCCACAGGAGGTTTGGGACGAAATGTGCAGCCTGCCAGCAAGGCATCCCGCCCACCCAGGTGGTGCGAAGGGCCCAGGACTTTGTCTACCACCTTCACTGCTTCTCCTGCGTGGTCTGCAAAAGGCAGCTGGCCACGGGAGACGAATTCTACCTCATGGAGGACAGCCGGCTGGTTTGCAAGGCCGACTACGAGACCGCCAAGCAAAGAGGTGAGTCTGCTCGGCTCTTTCTCCACCTTGCAGCCCACCAGGGGCTTCTCCTGCTCGGCCTCCAAATGGGCGGTGGGGGGCTCCCACCTCTCAAAATTAGGAAGCCACAGCAGATGGATTTCCCTGCATGGAAGAGTTGCTAAGCCCCAGTAGCCATAACTACGATGGGGGGCAGAATTATTTGTTTGTATGCTTGCATCCAAATAACCCAAGGAGGTGAACGTGTCCAAAACGCCTTCTTCCTCCTTCTTGACCCTTTTCACATTCCCACAACTCCGTCCACGTGCAAGTTCCACTTTTGGACTTTGACCTTTTCCCTCTTGGGAACATTTTCAGAGGCCGAGTCCACAGCGAAGAGGCCTCGGACCACCATCACCGCCAAACAACTGGAGACCTTGAAAAACGCCTACAATAACTCCCCCAAGCCTGCCCGACACGTGAGGGAGCAGCTGTCTTCCGAAACAGGCCTGGACATGAGAGTGGTCCAGGTGGGTGAAAGCCCTGGAGACGGGCGGGAAAACAACCCGGCTGACCCAGCCGAGGGATGGAGGGTGCTGTTATTCTGTTAAAGTCAATGGGGAAGCCAGATTCTCTTAATGACCACGTTACTAACTTAACAACTGCAATGAATCACTTAGCAAGGAAGGTCGTAAAATGGGTTAAAATTTGCTTAACAACTGTCTCGCTTAGCAACAGAAATTTTGGGCTCATTTGTGGTGGCAAGTCGAGGACTACCTTTCTATCAATAAAATAGGTAAGCCTGCCCCTCCCTTCGCCCCTCCAGGTGTGGTTCCAGAACAGGAGAGCCAAAGAGAAGCGCCTGAAGAAAGACGCTGGGAGGCAGAGGTGGGGCCAGTATTTCAGAAACATGAAACGCTCCCGGGGGAATTCCAAGCTGGACAAGGACAGCATCCAGGAAGAAGGGCCGGACAGCGATGCTGAGGTCTCTTTCACAGGTACGCGCGAAATTCTAACTGTGGGCATGCCAAGGAAGGTAAAAAAAGTCAAGATGGCTGCCACAATCACGGCCCACCCCCTTTTTTTAATGGGCAGGGCTTTGATTGCAAAGTTGTGTCCGCCATGTTGATATTTTTGCCTCCTGTGCCTTGCACGGATACTCCTGACTGTTGTTGTGGATTGTGAGAATATGATTCTGATGGTTCTTCAAAGAATAGTCCCAAAGGTGCTTTTCTGAAAGGCAACTGGAGAACAAAGTCCCGAAAAAGCCCCTTTGGGACAACCGTGACCTGGACGACCGAGAATCTCCATAGATGTTCTTCAAGGGAGAAGTTGGATCTTCTTCCAAAAAAGGGTAGTCCCTTGTGATCCTCCTCCTCCTCTCTCTCCCACGTTCCTGTTTCCTTTTTCCAGACGAACCTTCCATATCCGACATCAACCATCCCAACGGGATTTACAGCAGTCTTGGGGAAGACTCCCCCGTTGTGGCGAAACAAGCTGGGAGCAGTGGAAACTTCTCCTTGGAACATGGTGGCATCTCAGCTCAGGACCAATTTCACGATCTCCGGTCAAACAGCCCTTATGGGATGCCCCCCTCACCAGGCTCCTTACAAGCTATGTCTGGCCACCCGTCCTTAATGTCCAGCTTGGTTTACCCAGACCACGGCTTGGGCATCGTAGGCCAAGGTGGACAATCAGTGCCTCAACCCATGAGGGTGTTGAGTGGGAACGGACCCAATTCAGATCTCTCTTCAGGAAGCAGCGGGGGATATCCGGATTTCCCAGCCAGTCCAGCTTCTTGGCTAGATGAAGTTGACCATGCACAGTTTTGATACCGGACTGGAGAACTCCTGGAGCTCCTTAAGAAACTGGACATCTGCCTGGAATGACCAGGAGACCCAGGCAAGTGGAGAAATGTTAGCCAGCAGAGAGACGTGGAAACAAGGGAAAAAGGAGGGAGATGCCAGCTCTTGACCCAGGATGGCTCCTGGAAGGAGTGGAGGAGGTGAAGGGACCATGCCCAGCTTCAGCTTGATGGACCCCCGTCGGCAGCTTCTTCCCCAGACATGGCTGGACCTGAACAGACTTTTTGCTTTCCAAGTTCGGTGAAGCCGATGTGAGTATCAGGAAGGAGGTCCTGAGGGGCTATTGGGGTTCCTCCGTCTGTTCTCTGTGCATTTGTCATGACAGGGTCTGACCCAAGAGAAGATATTTTTTTATAAAATCCGAGGAAGCCTGCCAGCTGAGGGGGAAAGAAGAGAAACCAAAATAGCCTTAGTTTTCTTTCATCGTATGTGAGTAGAACAAGAAAATGTGTTTCTGGGATAACCTCTTCTCCTTCCCTAAACAAGAGGTGACAAGAGTCCCTTCCTCCGTTTCCTTCCTCACCCTCGGCCTCTTCCTCCCCTCCTCACTCACTCCTTCCTCTTCCTCTTTCCTTCCCTCCCTCCCTCCCTCTCTCTCTGTCCCTCTCCTGCTTCCTTCCCTTCCCCTTCCCTTTCTCTTTTCTTTCCTTTCTCCTTCCTTTTCTTCCTTCTTCATTTCCACTTCCTTCCTTTTCCCCTTTCTCTCTCTCCCTCTCTCTCTCTCTCCCTTCCCTTCCCTAGTACTGATTTCCATCCAACCAATAAGCTTCAACCTCTCCTTTTAATGAGTGTTTTTGCGTCCTCCTCTTTCTTTATATTCAGGATGCTGCATTCAGCTTTGCTTTGTCCACCATCTTTCCTTCCCCCCTCTTTCCCTTCCTTTCCTTTCCTCCTCCCAAACAGAATAAAACAGCCTCAACTGTCTAGATTTTCAAAAGCCAAGCATTGAGTCTCCTTTATTTTTATTTGTATATATACATATATATATATATATATATAAGTCACTGTAATTAATTTGTAGGCTATTTTCTATTGCATTGTAAATGAGCTGCTTTAGCTATACAGACTGAATGTCATTTGGATCGGCTCAAAGAAGGTCTGTTGTTTTTTTAAACAATTTCTGACATGGGAACGGATATGTGTCTGGATGCTTTTTAAAAATGATTTTTCTTTACCAATTACCAATTTCTCCCAATTTCTCTTCTCTGATCAGAAAGCAGGTGGTTTTGCCCTTGGGCGGGAGACATAAAATTGGCAGCTGGTGGGAGGGGCCCATGTACCCCCCCCTTTATTGATTGGCATCCCATAAAACTAACCGTGTTCTCAAACAGACCTGGTTAAAGAGGTCACTGTCAATAACGTGCATTTCCATGCATCCCTTATACCGGGGAATCTGCAGCACGGCAGACACAACCAGCACACAGACACAACCAGAAACACCCCCCCCCCGACCCCCTCCTTTTTAAGAAAATGCTCAGTTTGCAGTTTTGATCTGTATCTATGCCTTCTAAACTGACAGGTCTTTAAAGCTGCTGCCCAAACATTTGCTAAAATGTTTTTCTAAAGGATCACTCCTCTCACTGACAACAATTGTGCAATGCAGGTAATCCTCGACCTATAACGATTCATTTAGTGACTGTTCAAAGTTACAACGGCACCAAAAAAAGTGACTTATGACCCTTTTTTGCACTTACGGCCATTGCAGCATCCCCAGGATCACGTGATCAAAATTTGGACACTTGGCGAGTGACTCATACTTATGACGGTCGCAACATCCTGGGGTCACGTGATCCCCTTTGGCGACCTTCGGGCAAGCAAAGCCAATGGGGAAACCACTTAATGTCCAAGTTACTAACAACTGCAGTGATTCATTTAACGTGGCCAGAAAGGCTGTAAAACAGGGCAAAACTCACTTAATGATGGTTCCACTTAGCAACAGAAAATTTGGGTTCAACTGTGGTCCTAAGTCGAGAACTATCTATGTCTGGGTTTTTCTGTCTTCATTTGTTTTCTGTGATGTCACCCAGAGACGGAGGATTAAAACCAGCTGCGATTTCTCAAGGTTTGAATTTATTCGCTCCTCTGCAGAAGGGCAGGCGATGCAGTTCAAGAAAATGCGTTCGGTCGGTCGTTGTGTGTTCCGACGTTTGTCCAGTTTGTGTCTTTGCTTTCCAGTTGCCAAACGGTTTCCCACCTGGAGCAGTTTGTCCACATCGTTTATTAAAAATCTTTAAAATTGAGGCTCAATTTTTGTATGTTCAAGAACAGCCCGGTGACAATTTAAAAAAAACAACACTTTGATTGTCCCTTTATATTGTGTGTTTTCACAGCAGCCAAGAACAGAAAGATTATTTCGGTATGACAAAACAATATCTATATATCTATATATCTATATCTCATAACCTGTAAAACTAAATATTAAGTGTAGGTTATGTGTAATGTTTGGTGTCTCTTTCTCTCTAATCAAATACCATTAACATTTACAATAAATTTGTCAGCTAAAGATTGATGGGGTCTTTCACAGAATTTAATCTATCTTGATTTAAAACATGCACCCTGATTAAAAGAACCAGATCCACCTCCAGGGCTCAGCGAGCCCTCAGGGGCAGCCCGTAGTTATTTTTCCACGGCCAAATATTCTTTTAAGTTAAGAGAAAAGATGGGAGAAACATCTAACCAACGTAGAAGGGCTATAGATTAAAAAAAATGGCTTATTGATGGTGTGGGATAAATCCTTATCAAGTTTGCAGTTCACAAGACCGGAGATTATTCAACAGAAATTTCCAAATGCAATTGTACAGGCATGGAAACCTGGATGGCAAAAAAAAAAAAAAGTGTGGAATTTATCAGAAATATGTTTCACATTTTTCATGCAGAAAGTTTAAAAAAAAAATCAAATGTGGCTACAGGACTGAGGCTAACTGTCTTAAACCTTTTGATCTTAAAATTGCAATTGTTCACATGCTGGATTCCATGCTGGTGACAATATGATAAAAGAAGACAAGCTGTAATATTTTTTTTTTTTAAAAAAAAACCCTAATTTGAAATGATCTTACATGGCTGTCCTGGTACATTGTATGTCCCAGGCATCTGTCCCTTTCCTAAACCTTCTGTTTTGAATTTCTTTTTTCATCCTTTCATCCCCTTTTTTTCCAACTGAGCAGCAGACCAAAGAGATGAGAAACAGGGATGTTACCTCTGCTGTGCTAAGACAGCCTTTTAATTTGACATTCTTTCCCACAGGTCTTGACAGAGAAATTTGAGAACCGGTAGCTGAGTTGGTTTGTTTTCCTTCTTCCCTTTCCATGACTTCTTCCTTTTATGCCGTATTCTTTAGGTTATAAACAAGCCATCTTACGTATTGTTTTTCCAGTTGTATGAAAACATTTGCTTTGGAAGCTTTACTGGTTGAAGAGAACATGTAAAATGTGTGAAATAAATTACCCAATGAGTAAATAACGAATCAACTTGTAAGAAGCCTCCTAAAGGATATTTAATTGGATGTTGGTATCACAATGCCAACCCAGACTGAGCATTTAGACATAGATCTAGAGCTTGATTTCACTTTAATTATTATAATTACCAAGATCAATATAAGGCATGAGATGGGCAAAGGGGGAGAAAAGGGTGATTTAAAAACTTCCTTCCTTCCTTCGTTCCCTCCTTCTTCCCTTCCTCTGCTCCTTTCCTTCCTCTTTCTGTCTTTCCTTTTTTCCTTCTTTCTTCCTTCCTCCCTCCCTCCTTCCTCTTTCCTTGTGTTGCATTGTTTTATGATTTAAAACAAGAAAATATACATTTTTGAGTTTAATGCCAACATCTCCACTCTGTTAAAACATTAAAAGGAAGAAGGAAAGAAAGATGTCTGTGAAAAACACCCCTAAAGATAATATAGGCCAATTTTGAATTTCTGACTTCCCCTTTCTTTGTTCTCCAATACAGAGTGGTGTAAACTGTAAAAAAGGAGCCACACTCTAAATATTTGTATTTACTGTCCATTGCTGCACACTATACGGTATCTAGCGAAGAAGCCATTCTAGGCAGCAGCTAGTTCTGAGGGTGGCATCCTCCTGGCGAAGGCGGCCCATTGCCCAGTTTTCCTGCTTGGTTTCCAAAGGTCTCGATTCCGCCCGAAACCAGAAAGACACCTGAGAATCGCCTTGAAAGGCAGTGAAAACCAGGGGAAGAAAATGAAAGACAGGAAAGAAAAGAACCAAAGTGAGGGTGGTTTCCAGGCAGCGTCAGACCTGCTAAACTAGGAATTATAAATAGCCAGGTGAGAGGCAAGGAGACTGACATTTAAACCGAGATTGAAAAGGAAGGAGCATTAAAGGTGATTAGTAAACCTTGAGTGACTTCTGCCTCTCCGCAGCTTGCAACACGTAGTGACCTTTTATTCTCCATTGCTTTCTTTCAGCCATTCCCCCCCCCCATCTAAATTCCCTTTTTACAAAGTCTGTCTCTTCCCTTTGGCGGGTGGATTTTATTTCTGTTTAATTGTCTCTGAACCATCTTACCTTCACATTTGTTTACCTTGCAGATTCACCTTCTACACTTCCTTGGGCAGTTTAAAATCAGGGCGTTTTCCCAAGATCTTTTTATATGCCCCTTTATCCGAAGGGGGATTTGCAAAACCAACTCAAACAGTCATGGGAACCACGGTGTAAAATTAAATATTAAAATAAAGGATGTTCCTGATCCTGGGCGACTGGTCTGGCCTGGATACAGCCCATCCCGCCAGAGAGAATGGGCAATTGGCTTGAAGACTGGTTTTTCAGATTATTTTTTTTTTAAATTAATTTTATTAGAGTTTACAAATATAAAGATAAAAGAGGAGTACAAACCTAGATAAATAGGAAAAGAAATAAAAAATGGAAGTTCAGAGACAGGAAAAAAGAGGCATATTTGGGAGAGAAAAATCAGAGGACTTTCCCTTTTCCATTTTAAACAAATAATTGATTGTGTGTGTGAGGGGGGGGCATAATATCCTTTTCTCCTTTTGCCCCTTCGTCAGCCCTTCTTCGAGGGGATTCAGGTTCCCCCTATCCCCATACGGGGGGGCAATTGTGGCTGGTGTCCCTTACACCCCTGGAAGACCCGCCTGCCCCCCCGCCCAGCGCCCCCCCCGTCAGCCGGAGGCAAGTAAATCAGGGCGGGCAGCGACGCCCCTGTGGAGCAGCCAGAATTAATGCCCCACTTGGGCGCCCAATGAAGCGCCGGGCGGGTGGCCGACCCATGGGACCCCCAGCCGCTCCGGAAAGGGGCTGGCCCAGCTCCGGCAGGATGGACGGCCAGGAAAGGAGGCAGCAGGTGGGGGGAAATTCACTTAACAAATGTCCCACTTAACAACAGAAAATCTGGGCTCGATTGTGGTCATAAGTCAAAGAGTACCTCCAAATTCATTACTAACCGAAGTGGCTGATTATGGTTCCCCCCCCCCAAAGGTGTCTGTAGCATGTGAAATTCTGTGAAATTAATTGGGGGGGGGACATATAAGAAATAGCAGGATTCAGACAATAGAAAATGAATGAATGAATTAATGAAATGAATGAGAAAGAAAGAGAAAGAGG